GCAGCTCCCGTTTCTGTTTCTCTTTCTCCTTTTGATTTCTGATTTTTAAATCTCTCTCTCTCTCTCTCTCTTTACGGCTCGAATTTCGCTGCAGCAGCGGAATATGTCGTGTCAACTTTGGTTTGGACGACAACTCTGGCAGCTTAAGCGAGAGTACTGTCCCCCCCGTTCCGTTTTGCAATCCAATTCATTTCAATCGAAACCAATTCGAGTACCCTTCAGCCCCGCTCCCACCCTTTAGCTGCATTTGCTTTTGGTTTCAATTCTGATTTTGATTCGCTTACAGATTTGTACACTTGCAAAAATTACACAACAGATTATGAATATTCAATGAAAAAGTCCAAGCCCATCCAAATGTTTGGCAACTTGTGTTGAAAAATAAATTTAGATTGTTTGTTTGCCTTTTTCGAGTCGGACTATTGGCAAATTTATATTTTTTAGAGTGCAGAAAAAAACAGCACAGACAAGGCAGTAGGGCGGGCAGATAGAAGCCTCTGATAGGAGTGCAAGTGCGAGTACAAAAGTACGAAGTAGCAGTTACAGTTACAGTTACAGTTGGAGTCAGCACTGACGGACAGATAGATGGACAGACAGACAGATAGATAGATAGTTAGATGGATATAGAAGGATGGGATAGACGTATGCATGGGATGGACAGGGCAGAGCCAGTGCGAGAGATTTTTTTCGATAGTTCTCGCATTAGAAATGAAATTGGAAGCCACTTGGTGGGGATTGGCATTTAGGTAGGGGGTTTTCATGGATGCTTGCGTGTGTAAGCTACTCAGATAACAGCAGGATTTTTGCTTTGTTTGCTCGGAGTAGAGTGTATTTTTCACAAATATTTACAAAGTGTAAGGCACTTCTCCAAATTTAGATACACTCACCTCCTCCCCCATTCCTCCCCATAATTCGTGAAACGAATGGCACCAGCGGATGGCAACCATTTCAAGAATTATTCGCTGCACGAATTTGCCCTAAGCGAATTGATTTGTGCAATTGAAAGGTCACTCAATGATCTCTCTTCAAAAATGCACAGAAAATCTCAAGTCAACTGTTACATGAAAAGTCAAGCGTCAAATTTTTATCAAATATTTATACATAATCCAGAGGTCAAGACGGAGAGAGAGAGAGAGATGAAGAAAGGGTGAAAAATTGAAAGCATGCAGCAAATAGTTTTCAGATAAACAAACACAGGTCCTGTCCTATCCTATGCTGTCAACAAAAGGATATTTGAAAAGCTTGTGAAATTTCTGTCTGGCAAAATGAAGGAACAAATGCAATGCAACAAAAGCTGTCTGCATTTGTCTGTGGGGCTTCCTTTCCTCCATTTCTGACAGCCATTTAATTGTTAGATTTCGATGAAGATTGATGGATGGCCAGAGATATCATCAAGGGAGGCAAACAAATGATAGAGAGGATGCTCTCTCTCTCTCTCTCTCTCTTTTGGACAAGCATCAAAGTCTTTAAATATCTCCAATATAAGGGAATGTAATTTTATCAGATTTTATATATGTGCATACGTACAAAAATACTTACAAATATAGTAGAAAGATATGGAAAAACTCTTTTTTATTATTGGTGCAGCATTAGGATTTCAATTAAAGATCTCTACAGACGAAGCAGCAATTGAAATCCGCTTTCGGAGAGAATTTCACCGCTTTAAAGACACTTTGAAAAACAAACTCGAAAAAAACACTCATTATATGATGATGTTATTCACGTATTTAAATTCATTTCCCATTCATAATGTAAATGCGTAACAAATTCTATAGAATTCTCAGGGGTAAAAAGAATCCCACAAAAATCCCCTCGAACTATTAAGCTTTTTGCGTTTTAGCGTTCTCGAAAAACGAAAATCTTTTTATAATTATACGGATCGTACATCAATCATATATAATGTATGCCTTTTATTCTCTCGATTCTCACTCTGTTGAAGGTCTTGCACACGTTTGAATATATATGAAAAAATTAGACAAAAATGTGCGGAAAACGTTAACCAGAGAGATAGAGAGAGAGAGATTGTTGTGTCGAGGCGACTGTTGATAATAGATAACCTTAAGGGTCACAGCAGCAGTCCACTATCTGTTCGGACAAATAAATAGATGTACCCACAAACATGTATTCTACGAGTAGTTTGAGCTGGCTGCCTGCCTTTGTCTGTGATTCTCTTGCTGTTCTTTCTGTGTCTTGCCACACAGCTTGCGGCTTCTTAACCAATCTACACGTAATCCAATTGTGCCTTCATCTGCCTTCCGTCCACCCAGAAGCACTTCAACAATTGTTTTTGATTATTTAATTTGCCAGACTTTTGCTTTGGCTTTGGCTTTGGCTTTGATTTAGTTTCAGTTTCGTTTCCAGATTCACAGATTCACAGACTCACAGTTTCTCATTTCGCTATTCCCAAAAAAAAGGCATAGAGGGCAGTCCTTGGGCAGCAGACCACAAGATTTCAGTATCTCTCTCTCTCTCTCTCTCTATGACTCGCTCTGGATCCTTTCTTTCATGCCAAGGATTTCCTATTCGCTTCACAGATTTCCCCCTGCCCATCCGCCGCCGTTCTTCCACTTTTTGCTTATGATTTAGTCCCTGCCGCAGTTCTGGGCAGGACCTTGAAAATATTGTCAGGCGCATTGTTACCAAAATGTTGTTTTTGGCCCCAAAAAGACCGCAACACAACAAATGCCTCGGCTGTTGCCACACTGCCGCACAGCCACGCTGCTGCTGCACCGCCCCCCACACTAGGGAACACAACACACAAGTGTCGTGGCAGGAATGAAAATGGATGCAGATGCAGGGTGTGCGGCACAAAGGTTGGGATACACTCGCACTCGTACAGACATCTGTTTTTTGTTTACCATATTTAATTTTTCTAAAGTTGGTTTGCTATTTTATTCTGGCTTAAATCTACTATTTTTATAGTAATTAATGTCTGACAATTTTCTCTTCTTACACTTTGAAAATTACTCAAAAAGTTGGGATATCAACAACGTCGACTCCTGAAGTCGTAGATTTTCTGTTTGACTCTTTTTTTCTCTTGCTTTTGGTCCAAACGTGCATTTCCACCTCAACCGTTCCACTGTCCCTTTCCCTCTTCATCTCTTTCATTCCCCCGCTTACCATCCCTTTTGTGGCCTTTGTCTCTGTGCATTTGGCTTGACAGTCGTCGCAGTCGCAGTCGCAGTCTCAGCAACCAAAAAGTGCGCTTTGAGCTTTTGTTTTTCGTCCCCCGAATACCCTTTCCACTCGCTAGAGGGCATAGGCAGTTCTACGTATAGAGTTTGGAAGATTTATCTTTCAAGATTTTTAATTTGAATTTGTTTTCTGATAAAGTTATACGAAGAAGAATTATTTCTTGCTATACAGAAGGAAGCTCCAAATGGATCTGCAAGGGTATCCGTATCCTCAAAAGGCATTCTTAATTCCGCTTATGGTTTTGGCTGTGCTTTTGTTCCTATTTGAGTTTTTGTTTTCGGTCTTTTCTCTCTGTCTCGTTGTTCGTTGACGATTTCTCATAACCCCCTTTTTTTCTTTCTTGCGACTCATTCTTTTCCCCAGACTATTACCCTGTCTTGGCACTCTTTGCGTGCCCCTGACATGGCTTCTGGGGCAATCATTTTCTATATGTTGCATTATTTAAGCAAAGTTCAAGCGTTGCAAACAAACAAAACCCAAATCTGAGGCGAATCTTTCAAGCTCTGTCAAGGGCATCAGCCACAAATAAAACTTATCTTCAGAGACAATTATCTCTGTTTTCGTGGCATAACTTTCAATCGCAGCTAATTGTTTCGGAAACGCGGGGAAAAACTTTGCCCGAGACGGGGCGCCTGCATAAACAAAATTAACTTTTTCGACCCCAAAAAATAAACGTTGCAGTGGAGTGGAGTAGAGTTCAGTTAAGTTGAGTTATAATCGAAAATAAATTAGTTTCATTGGAAATTACTTATAAGAGAGAATGCAACAGCGGAAAGTTTCTCTGTTGGCAAAACATGGCACAAGTTTTCCCCCCTGTAGCTTTTCCCGAAGTCATTTTGCATAATAACGAATTAACTATATAATTTTTGGGGCAAAGAACCAAAAGGACTTAACTGATTTTGATCGATGGAGCTGGTTGATGGGTCTTTCGGTCGTTTAGGATCGGATTGGGATGCCCCAATCTCAAATTCAATTTTGAATTTCAAGTTTGAGTTTTAGTTTCAGCGCTGCAGCATGCCGGAGCATGCCACATGCAACGCCCCACATATTCGCATTCATTCATGCCGCCTCTGACTTTGACTTTGACGGATTGCGAGGCTCAATAATTGCTGCAAATGGGTCGAGCAGAGAGGCAGCGGATAAAGTATACATTTTTCGGTTTATGTTATTATTGTAATATTTTAGTGCACTCTTTAATGCAAATTAATTGTGCACTAGATTTATTTTCTTAAGCATTAAATCTGTATACTATTTTACTCTAGACTCTCAGACTTACAGCGAAACCGAGTCACAATATCCCCTACAAAATATGCAACTTTTTGGAACTTTTGTTACCCTTTTCGAGCGGTTGAAAAACCACTCTATAACTCTATGAATTCCACAACTGAATGATTGCCCGAATGTCAAGAAAAGTTTCAAGGGGAAATTCCCCAAGGCAGGTACACAAAAATGAAGAAAAAATACAAATTCCCAAAACCAAAAATGGAAAACTTTTGCCCACTTTTTTCAGCCGCATTTCCCGCATCAGGCATGTCCCCCTGATTGATTTGTCAGCCGCATGCCGCATGCCGCATGCCACACGCCAAGCACCACACACACACACACACACAATGAGTGGGGAAGCCATAAGCACATTAGGCTCTCAAGATTTCCACATGAAATGCGGGGCACACAACAAAAGTCGCCTGCAAATTAATATGCAACGCGAAAAGGGAGGTCTGGGTCTGTCCCCCACCCGTCAGACTTCAGTACGCCCTAAACCCCTATTCAAAGTTAGTTAGAATGACTAAATAGTAACACATACTGACCTGTGACCTACTCTCCATCCACGGAGGAGTGTGTTGCAAGAAGAACGTAGTTACAGTTGCAGTTGCAGTTGCAGTTGCAGGAACGGGAACGGGAACGGCAGAACGGGAACGTTGCACAGCGGTGGGCGGTTAACAACAAAAAAAGTGGAAAAAAAAACAAAACAACAAAAAATACAATATAGAAAATTTTGTTATAGAAAAAATTGCACTTTATGGCCCCTACTACGTCGCCCCGGCAATGTTGTTCCGGAAAACTCCCAGAGTAGAAAAATGCGAAAAGCGATGAGGCAACATTTTCAACAAGAAAAAGTGAAAATTCTGAATAGTGATTTTTAAATTTGTAAGGAAAGGTTTGAGTTTAGTTTTTAGATTTCGAGTGTAAGATTCCCGACGCTTTTTCGAATTCCTTGGCGTATTCGCCTTCGAACGCTTTTCGATAACCGATTCTGGAAGTTTTCTGGAACGTTTCATGTATGTACATATGAACGTATGTACGAGTATGTTGATGTATGTTTGTATTTGTGGCTTGAGTTTTAGGGCTCGACCGCCGACGGACGATAGGACGACCGTACGGGGGCCGCACTGTTTGAAGTCTCCGCAAGAGGAAAGCGCGGGCGAGAGGGAGGTGGGGGGCCTGCTCCATGGTCCTTGGAAGCCGGAACACGCGATGGTTGGAAGAACGGTAGGGATTCCATGGAGTAGTGCTCGAGAAGGACGAGGATGAGGGAGTATGGAAAAATGGGAATAGGGCTTAGGATCTAGGGTTCTGTGGGTGTTCTCGAGGCGTTTACTGGCGGTGGCTGACTTTTATTCTGACGGACTGTTGCGTGTTTTGGAGCCAACAACTGCGACGTACTCTCGTCGCTATTGTTGTTGTTGTCATGAGAGGGCCATGTACATACATATGTACATATACTTTCTATTGTATTATATTTTATATGCTTTGACAAAGCCCCCAAGCCACTTAGACAAACTGCTTCAACTTTCAGGCGGCACTGACTGGCTCTCTGGCTGGCTCTGCTCGCCTCCTACTTGATGTTCTTGTTGTTGTTTTTGTTGCTGGTTATTATTGTTATTTAATGTTTATAGTTCGCCGAACAAGATCCCCATATGCCTGAGGGCTATTCTCTTCTCCCTTCTCCTAATCCACCTCCTGTTGCCTTTTCTCTCTCGCTCCCCTCCACTCGATTGAAGGCGTAAGAAAATACATTATAAGCCAATGATGTGGTGCACTCGTATGTCCCGTATTACATTACCGTACACTTGGCACGACACAGGGGGAAATGCTCCCGCCCGCTCCATCGTCTCATGGAGGAAATTGGAACACACTCAAAACAAAGAGAGAGAGTAAGAGAAAGAGAACAAGAGCGAGCGGAGAAATCATTCTTGCAAAACAAAGCGCAAAATAGGAGAGCGAAATGGAGGTGAAGTCTTTCGTTTCGTTTCATTTCGTTTCGCCGGCGGCTTCCCTATCGCCTGACAATTGATCCCAGAGGGCACAGTTACGTACTATAGTAGATTTATTGATTAGAGACTCAAAATGGGAAAAATGTCTATGATCATGAGCGTTGGCATGATCTTCCATTTCTTGCAAGAAATTGATTATTTCCTGTAGAAGCAACACGGAACTTCCAGTGAGTGTAAATATTGCCCTTGAAAATTCAACAACACGGCAATGTCCAAAAGTTCAATGACATTTTTTACACTCTTGAAATTAGCTTGAAATTGGCAATAAACTTAGATACGCTTTAGAAACTTGCACACACATGTTTGTGCATATGTTTCCCCTCGCCATCAACTCAGTGCACTTTATTGTTGATTTGTGTGCCGTGGAAAACATTTCAATTGCTGGCATTTGAAATCAATCAATGGAATCGGCAACAAATTTACATTTGGAGTTGAATCATTCGCCAATTAAGACCACAGAGAGAGACAAATAGAGAGAGAGGCAGATGACGATCTCACGATCAACGTCGGGGCGATCGAGCGCGCACACATGTGATTATACTATATAAGAAAGTGGCGACGGGCAGATGAAATACATATGTATTCAAATATTTTAATTGATCTTCATAGAAAAAACAGCAACAATAGCAAACGAGTATTACGCGAGTATTTTTTAATTACAATCTCAGGTTGGAATTCACTTTATTTTCTTGTTATTTTGTTTTGTTTTAAGCACTGTTTTTTAGCTGCTAGATGATTTAATGGCACACACACACAGTAAAAAAAATTATAATTAACAATTCCTAAAAAATATCTAAAACGGAGGAAAAAATCCCAAATCATTAGCACTTTTGATTGTCTCTTTTTATTTTACTTTTGTGTCGCTTTGTCGTTTTCTCGTTTGTGTTTTGTAGTTTTTTGTTGAAAATCGCGCTTTGGAGTGAAATCACCGCAGTGGCAGTGACAACAGACTCGAGCTTTACGTACGTTTAAAATTGCGTCAAAATCTGTTTTTGAGGCCGGGTAAAAGCGTCTCTCGAACAAGCTGTAGAAGTCGACGAAAAACAAAAAATTCACCTCCGACAACTTCGATGCTCCTGCTTCGACTGCGAACTGTGAGGCGCCAAAGCGCCAAAAACCGGTCTCGGTAGCCGCCAGTATTCGTGTGTTTCGTGTTTTGTCGTCATCGTAGTCGTCGTTGGCATCGTGCTCGTTTCGTTGGCGTTCGGCCTTCGGTCTCTTTCTCTGTTCGCTGCGCTCTGGCCTGCCCGTCGCCAACCCACCCACCCCCCGCCGGCACTCCATCAGTGTTTTCAATGCCAAGCAAAAGCAGCTGTTCTCCAGCATGCATTTTGTTGCTGCCCTCTCCGTGCGCTCTCCCAACAGCAGCAGCACCAGCAAAAGTAATGCATTCGCACACTCGTATACCGTACATTGGTGCCGAAACTATATGGTTTCTTCATGGGCAAGTGCAAGGGAATTGGTAACGATGCTAAAAAGTGTTCATTCCTTGGTGTTTACTGGACGCGATTTATCTTGATCTTAGCGGGCACCCGCTCCAGCATACCAGCAAAGTGACTGGCAGCAGAACGAAGAGAAGATCTCATAGTCAAGTTCTCTGGGTGCCAAAAGAGAAAGCACATTTGCATAGACATGTACATGGTATATGCTCTGTCCTATGCACATCAATGAAGCAGCATTGTTCCCATACAGGCTCTTGGCTTTGTTGTCTAAAATAATTTGTAGAAAAACTATCACGATGTTCTCCTCTCCAATGGCTTCATAAACTCACAACTCACAACTCACCTGCCTGCCCTACCCTACAGACATAACGGGTCTAACAACTGGAAGGCAAAACGAAAGACAGACAGACGCAAACGGCAGTGGGAAAGGCTACATGGCGCAAAGTTTGCCACTGAGAAATGAGTTTAATTGGGAATCATTAAGGAAAGCTGTTCTGTGCGGAGTCTCCTATGATCCCCAAACACACAGGCACACACACACAACAACAGGAACAAAAGATATTTCTAATTCCTAATGAGTTATTCTGGCCATTACATGAGCAGAGAGCATCGTTATCAGTAGAGCAGACTGGACGCAGCGTTTCCACTTTACTCCAGAGAGCATTACAGTCGTCTCCCTTCTACTGCTGCCTCTCAGTCACTGTGCCATTCTGTCTAACTGTTTACTGATTTTGTTGATATGTACTTTAACTATGTGTCTGTGTGTGTGTGTGTGTGTGTGGGGTGGGCAAAGAGTATATTTTGTTTTAATGGATATTGAAGCCCACAAAAATGTAATATTTGATTTTCCAAACTATTCCATAAAGATGCATTCGTCGATGCCCTTTTAGGAAACTTTTTTCCTCCCCTCTTCACATGGTTAATCCTGTCTTTGATTTATAAAATAAGCCTGAAGTTCTGGAAGTACATATGGAGACTACTAACGATTCAAAGTAGAAATCGAACATAATAATAGATCGAATCTCTGGGATGTTCTATCCTATAATTCGCATTCTTTTTGTCTGCCCAGCAATAGGAATACCCATAGTCGCCTCGCCATATGAACCTTTCATAGTGCTCTCATGTGTATTCCTATGGCTGTTTTCTGTTTTTTTTTGTTTGTTTATTTCAAGTTCAACATGTGCCCCCGATCCCGATCCCGATCCCGAACCCCGGCACTGGCACTGGCACTATCACCGGACACTCGCTGCTTGTTTAATTTTAATCATACAACAGACGAGACAAGGCAGCAACCAGCACATGGAACACATTGTACAACTCGTATTGTTGTGGCTTTTTGTTACATTTTAATGTTATGCGGCCTTTGTTTCGTTTCAGTCGTTGTTGTCTCTCGTTTTGGAGAGACACATGTACATATGGTTGTACATATATTTTATGGTTATATTTCGTTGCTTCTTAGGCCCCCTAATGCCCTTCTATATGCCTGGAATATCCGCACGTTTGTAGTATATCTGGGGAGATAACTGTCGCAGCAATGTAATGTAGTCCATTTGCGACAAATATGCGGCCAAAAAGATGGAACATTTTACTCGGACAATGGCTGAAAATTGTTCGCATTTTCATGACCGAATTACCCAGATTTTTGGAGGGCGAGCGCAGCCAGCCAGCCTCATGTGCTATGTGGACCCACATAGCCCACTGGACAACACCCCAGACCCAGTTACCAGTTACCAGTTCCAAGTCGCATCTCCCATTCTCCCATCCTTCCCAGGCTCCTTCCATTTTTGTGTGGACAGAGCAAAACAAACAGAACCATTGGCACAAGGCACGCAAATCTCGGCTATGACCAAAATATTTGCCAAAGTTCGTTGGGGAGTACTACAAAAAATGGCAGCCCTGTGAAAGAAATAAAGAAAGAGCTCCATTGGGGCTATAATGATACGCGGAATACCCTAGGGACGAAGACATGGCCGAAGACAGAAAATGTTCCCAAAAAGCAGGAGCTCTTTTCCACCCAATCGAGAGGATTTTCAACAGATCGATGGCTAAGATATTTAAATTAATAATTAAAATGCTAAGTAAAGGGACATATTCTGGCTGTAATAATTGCCAGTTGCAGCCGTGACTACCCTTTCGAAGGGGGTACGAGCATATAGTAAAAAAAAAACTCAGTCAAAGCTATGCCAAGAAATCAAAGTGGCAGCCAGTGGCGGACAGAGGGACAGGGCGGACGGACAGTGGATACAAAAGCAGGCCGGATATATTAGCCAAGACAGACGGAGGGCAGGGCAGGGCAGGGCAGGGCAGGACAGCCGTCAGGGGCAGCAGGGACAGGGGGCAGGCGAACAGGGAGAGCATCAGCATCATCGTTTCATTTCGCTGCCTGCGTCAATGACAACAAATTCGTTGTAAGCTCTCTGGCCCTCTCTCACTCTCTCACTGTCTAAGCCCTTCTTTCCACTTATTTTGGGTTACTGCGGCGGGCGCATACATTTCGGCAATCCACATACTGGGTGGGCGCCCGCCATCGCATCATTGGCACAAAAGCAAAGCAAAGGGCCACTCGCCGGCGATGTCATTGCCGATGGGCGACTAATATTTGCCAAGCGTAAAGTAATAAAATATTTCTTCGGTCAATAAATGCAATTGAATGTGAACAGAATGGGCCGTGGGGGCTCTGAATGGTCCGTCTAGAGGCTGGCAACAAATTAAACGAGAGACGAGGGAAGCACTCAAAGACGACACAAAACCGATCGACAAAATGCCCTAAGAAATCAAAAGAGGAATCGGAAATGGATCAAAAATAACGAATACTTGCATTAGCATAATTCGAATTATTAATTATTCATATTCAACTATTTTCATAATTTTGTCAATATTTAAATGAATTTATTTTCGATTTTCTAGCAATTGCTGGCAGCACTTTCTGCAGTACAATTTTTGGGTGCAATTCAATTGGAAATTGGAAAAACACTCAGTGGACGAGTGGACGAGAAACGTCCGAGCTATAGAAATATCTTGGAGTACGTCTTCTTGCAATCTTTTTGGATATACCCACTCCACTCCTCGCACTCCTCAGCATTCGCCTTCGGCTGCTGCTATTCCACTCCTCCACTCGATATTCGGCAGCGTAAAAGCTTTTGTCATTTGTTTGCTTTAGAATGCAATAAAAATGTTATGCCAAAGGATAAATAAACACGCTGCTGCTTGCATGTTGCCAAAAATCAACATGCAACTGAAGCATATCCACTCAAATACATATGTATATGGAGAGGAGAAAGCACAAGATGACCAGCTGGATGACTGGGAAAGCAGCGCTTGAAAGCGGAAATTACGAATGCAGCGAGAGAGTCAAAGGGTCAAAGAGTCAACAGCTAACCCAATGGGGAAATGCTACATATGACAAGGTAATAAATACACAGAGATAAACCACCAAGAGACAGAGATACAACTAAGTGATCGAGAGTAAACAGAAGAAGTTTTCTATTCGTTACTTAAGAAATCGTTACCCCTCAGTGCAGGCTTCGTGGGTGATTGTGGGTGTCGGTCAGCTGGGATTATGCATGTTCTATTGCTGATAGCTGAAAGCTGATAGCTGAAAGCTGATAGCTGATAGCTGATAGTAGTAGCACTCGTTGTGTTTCCCCTCACAGCAGCAACACAAATAAGTAAAAGACAACTAAAATACTATGACCATACGTGACTGTGTAGGTAAAATAATTTTGATATCGTGGAAGAACCACAAGATCCAATTGTCCAGACCCTGGGAGTTGCTATGGATTGTCTTCTCGCCTGTGATCCTCTGCCTAGTCGCTGTGGTGATGCGCAGCATAATTGAGGTGGATATGCGGGTGGACAGTGTGTACGATCCGATCGATCTGGATCGCAGCTGGACGGAGCTGATGGAGGCACTGGTGGAGCGGCAGCGGATCGCCACAGAGTACGGCAAGGAGAACAATCCGTTCATACCGAAGCTGGTGCTGGGCTGGGCACCCAACGATTACAATATATTCAGTGAGACCATTACGCAGAGCCTCAGGAAGCTGCAGCCACTGACGGCGCAAAAGTTCAAGGACTGCACCCAACTGCGACAAGATATGCGAAGGAAGTTCCTCTATGCTGGCGTCTGTTTCGATGAGGGGACCTTCGAAACGGAATACGCTTTCGTAGAGGGTTTCCTGGCGCCCACAAGCACCATCCAGCCTTTTTTGAACTACACGTTACTGTTCCCCAGCGAACTGCGAATAGTCAATGACAGCTTCATCAGCGCCAACTGGATGACAAACTATCAGGACGATCAAGTGGCCAACGTGCAGGAGCGTCTCAATCGGCCCTACTGCGGCGGCTATGTGGGCTACGTGCGCGAGGGCTTCATCCAGCTGCAGAAGGTCATCAGTGAGACCTTCCTGGCGATTGTCAGTCGCAGCAAGCTGCCCGAAATCCAGCTGCGACGTTTCCCCATCATCGGTCGCAAGCAGGATCCCCTGATGCTCTACCTGGATCGGGGTCTGGCCCTGCTCTTCATCGTCGGCTATCTGTTTCCCTGCCAACTGTTAGTTTATGTAAGAAGATCGATAGTCATCGATTTGCTCTAGCTCGATTCAACATCAACATTTTGCTTTGCTCCTTCAGCAGGTGGTAACCGAGAAGAACTCACAGCTG